ACTAAGCATAAAATGTTAGATTATATCTCTTCAGGGCCGGGGCCTGGTGGCTCAAGCCTGTAATCCCAGCACTTTCAATATCTCCAAATAGGTTCCACTTTAGTCACAGGAAATATTGACATGGCAAAGTACTAATTAACCAAAAAACTGGTCTGTAGCCAATAAAATTAAAAGATTTTCAAAATTTAGATGTCCTATGCTACAGTTACGTAATTTTTCCCAACTGTATTTGATAGTTTGTTCTCCTATATTTTATGTGTTTTTTTCACATACTTAATTTCTAAGATATTCAAGTTCTAGAAATACGAACATTTTGCAATAAGAAGAGCAGCTATTTTTCTTTGGCAACTTAGAAATGGTTTTATTTTCCAGCATTGTAATAACTATATTTAATAATTCCAGCATTGTAATAACTATATTTAATAATAGTTTTCTGTTAAAAAGGATCAAAACTTAATTAACATGCTAATTTTGAAGAGATATAATCTTTTTTTTTTTTTTTTTTTTTAGACGGAGTTTCGCTCTTGTTACCCAGGCTGGAGTGCAATGGCATGATCTCGGCTCATCGCAACCTCCGCCTCCTGGGTTCAGGCAATTCTGCCTCAGCCGCCCGAGTAGCCGGGATTACAGGCATGCGCCACCATGCCCAGCTAATTTTTTGTATTTTTAGTAGAGATGGGGTTTCACCATGTTGATCAGGATGGTCTCGATCTCTTGACCTCGTGATCCACCCACCTCGGCCTCCCATCTTCTGAATTTCACTTGAAATAACCATAATTATTCATATTTTATGTATATATATATATGAGGTGGTCATAGGGATCATTTTTATTATTCGATTTTTGGTATAGACCAGTGTCTCATTATGGATATTGGTAAAGATAATCTGAAAATGTCATTGTATTCATCTGTTATAACTTTTTTCTTTTAAATTTGTCAGTTATGTCACTTAATTTGAACATGAACTAGTTTTCTTCCTTCCTACTATTTTAAAAGTGAAAATTGTTCCTTTTGTTAACTCATACTTCTTTCTCTTGAACCTAAGCCAGCAGCTTCTTAATAGGTTTTATAACATTTTCTGTAAGATAGCCATTTATTAGTACATTACTTAGCACTGCTATTTTTAAGGTGAGCTTTTTCTATAAACTTTCACCGTTAGGATTTTATGTTGATGCCTGTTAAAGAAACTAGAATATTTCCTTTTCCTACTCCACCTCACTAAGTGTGTACTCATTGCAAATATAAATATATATCCTTTAAAAAATGAGCCCAGAATTCTATTGATTCGATAATATCGTGTTAATTACGTGGTTGGAATTAAAAGATGTGATTCTGGTTTTTATTTCATAAGTGTCTCTAAAATGTTTTGCTACTCCTTTGCGTTTGTTATTTTTGGGAAAGATTTCCTTCTGGGTGATAATTTTTAGATTGCCATTTTATTAAATATAAAGTTTTTTTTTAAAAAAGAGAAGATATTTGTTGTCTTATCAGAGTCCTGAATTTGAGCTTTGTCAGTTAATACCGCCTATTTAGTTTAGGGTTGCCACTTGGAATTTGACACAAATATTCACTGATTATTTGAAGAGTCAACACAACGATAGATTGGTTCACCCCCTAAATTGAGGGAGTTAGCTTTTAGTCTGCGTATTTCTTGCTGAAACTTAAATTCCTCAGAAACCCATAATCCTTGATGGATGGGCTTTTGGTATTTATGTCTGCCTTATACCTTAGAGCTGAATGGGTAGTATAGTGACCCATTCTACTTCTCTACATTAAGTTTATGTGAACAATCACATTTTCACTATACTAGGCCTTAGGAAGCTCTCATTGCCTGGACTTTAGAGTCATTGATCATATCTTCTACTGTTTTAATAAATAAAAAAAGGTAATTTAGCGTAATTGGGAAAGGACATTATTTTTCACCTTCTTGGACTTCTGCCAACAGCATTGAACTAGCATTTCTGTCTCTTTAGAAGTTTTCTAATAGTAATCTCATAGTTGTTAACCTAAAAACATAGGCATATCTAAAAGTGTGTTTGCCAGTATTCTGTATTAGTTAATAATGTTCCATTTCTAAATTTTATTATTGCTTTTGTTTGCATACTTAATGAATTTTTCAGTAAGAGAGGTTCACCTATGAGAAAAGCCTTAATTTTCCCCTCTGTATTTCCTTATAAAGAAGCATACCTCTTAAAATATCACTTGTGTCAGCCAATTGAGTATAATTGAATTAATTTTTACACTTGTAAGTTTATATCACACATATGCAAGAATGGAAATTATTGCATATTTAGCTTCCTAACTCCCATAATCTCAATTTTTATATTTCCTCTGTTGTAATTTAACCAGTATATCTTCATTTTGAAGATAAAGGGTTCATTTTTAACTCTTTACTTAGTAGTATCTTCTCTGCGTTTATAATCTGTTTTTCTATATTAGGGTTTCTTGCCCAGTTACTTTGAATTCTTTGTCTTCTGAAATGTGATCATTAGTTTTCTTCTGTTTAAATTCATATCAGTATATAAATGTGATGTTTGTTCTGAATGTGCTTTGAGATTTTAATATTAAAATGTACATTAAAATCTCAGTGTCACATTACTTATTAATGAGTGGATTTGTATTTAAGGTAAGGTGTTCTAGATGGACTTCATTCAGGATCATTTAAAGTTCACCTACTATATGTATGCAAGTTGTAGCTATGTGAGTGTTCAAAGAATTGTTAGTATGACTCTTGTTATACTTTAATAAATCAGAGTAGTCAATGAAAAAGGGAAATTTAGAGTCAGGACTTTGCCCTTTTTGTGCCTCCATTCATATATCTTGATCATCCATTATTTATGGAAGAGATTTATAATTCCATCTCTACATTACTATAATCCATTCTTGGATTAGAAATGTACTGTAATGTTTTTGGCATCAGAATTATGATTTTTTTAAATCTTAGGTTTAACTTTTTTGTTTGCTTGTTGCTTTGAGACAGAGTCTTGCTCTGTTGCCCAGGCTAGAGTGCAGTGGTTCAATCTTGGCTCACTACAACCTCCACTTCCCAGATTCAAGTGATTCTCCTGTCTCAGCCTCCCAAGTAGCTGGGATTACAGGCATGTGCCACTACGGCTGGCTAATTTTTGTATTTTTAGTAGAGACGTGGTTTCACCATGTTGGCCAGGCTGGTCTGAACTCCTAACCTCAGGTGATCCACCTGCCTCGGCCTCCCAAAGTGCTGGGAGTACAGGCATGAGCGACACTGCTTGGCCCATCTTAGGTCTAACTTTTAAATTAGTATTTCTCTGAGCTTATACATTCCAAGTATCAGTGGAGAGTGTTGACCTGGAAGCCCCCTGGTTGGCAAGGGACAACCAACTTAGCATTACAAACTGGTTGTGGACCAATCTGAGAGTGGCTAATTCATGTGCAAGCAATTCAAAGTTAATTGTACATGTGTATGTCTGTGTTTCAGATGTGTATATTTACACACATATATGTGGAATATTGATTATGTTTGTGAAGGACTTAGATTCTGAAGAAAAGTTGTTTTTTTTTTTGGTAGAATTAAATTTTGATGCCGCCACTGTAAAATTTCTGTCACTCACTGGTTATTATCATTTTTCAGATGAGGTTTTTTTTAAACGATGTTTATCTGATTACTCTTGGTGCTTTTACACTGTACCTGTTTTGTTAAAATGTGAAATAAAAACAAAAAACAAAGAATAACGAGTTAAGTCCCTAGTTAAACCATCATTTGCATTTCTCCCAGAGGTTATGAATCCAATTTATTGATTAGAAAATGTTTTAACTGAATAAGAAAATAATATGATTGGTAAATGAATTAGCTTGAATCAATGATTTATTTCCCTGACTTGGTGATTTGCTCTATAAAGTTATAAATACATTAATATATTTGGAGATTGTAGAATTTAGTGTAAACTAATGGTCAAGTCATAGTGGTTGTTTTGACAGTAGTCTAACAAGTTTTATTCTGTATTAAGATCTTGAAAACAAGGCATTCTAGTTTAAAGAACAAAGAGATGGAAAGCTTTCCTTTATTATTAAGCTTGTTCGTACAGATCTGTGTTATAAGCTGGGCTCGGTGACTTACACCTGTAATCCCAGCACTTTGGGAGGCCAAATCGGGCAGATCACTTAAGGTCAGGAGTTTAAGACCAGCCTGGCCAACATGGTGAAACTTGGTCTCTATTGAAAATATAAAAATTAGCTGGGTGTGGTGGTGCGTGCCTGTAATCCCAGCTACTCTGGGGACTGAGGCAGGAGAATCACTTGAACCCAGGAGGCGGAGGCTGCAGTGAGCTGAAATCATACCACTGCACTCCAGCCTGGGTGACAGAGTGAGACTCCATCTCAAAAAGAAAAAAAGAGAGATCTGTATTGCTTAAACCTGCCTTTATCGTGAGCTTTAAATTAATTAAAAGATGTTAACTATTTTCTTAGTTTGTGTTTTTTTTTCACATACCTAGATTATTTAATACTAGTAATTTAAAATACCTTACACTGTTTATATTGAAGTATATGTTATGGAAATAGTTCAGTTACAATTAACTCTTGATTTTTCATGCCAAAAGCAGGAAAAATGTAATGGATGTGGAGAAAAGAGCCATAAATTAAATTTTAGGTTCCATATACAGATTTTCAGAGTAGACTTACTTTTGTATATTCTTTCTGTGAGGAAGATAAAATATTTTGAAACGTTTGAGGATTATGAGATAAATGACAACTGGTTAAAGTAGTATCGAAACATACCTGGACGTTGGAGAAAGTAAACCAGGGATTAAAAGTTTTCTGTTAATAGAGTTAATTATAATGGTATTATCTTTGATGAATGAGTTTGATGTTTCACAAGGTTTATTTAATCTGTTTTCTTTGTGTCTCCCTAATGAAGAATTATGTTTAAGTAACAGTTTTAAAATATGATTAGGAAATAATAAAATATTGTCCTTTTTCTTTTATTTTTTTCCCCCTCTTCTTCTTCTTTGTTGTTTTTTTAGGGTATGAGTATCATAGAACAATTAGACCCTGTATCTTTTAGCAATTACTTGAAGAAATACCATAATACTATATGTGGAAGACATCCCATTGGGGTGTTATTAAATGTAAGTATCCTTAGGAAGCCTTGACTTAACATTTGGTCATGTGATATTACAAAATATCTCATTATCATTGTAATACACTGGCATCACTGGTTTTATGTACTTGTGGTCAAGTTTCTTTTTAGTATCTTTAACATAATTTGGAGTTTCATTGCGTTTGCTTACTTGAATAAAGTTATTTATCATTGGAATACAGTTTAATACTTTCTGTTAAATACAGAAAGTTATTTAGAATAAAGACCCTTATTTTCTCTTGATTCTTAGTTCCAATATGCTCTTTATAAATAAAAACTAAAGTGATCTCTTAATTACTTTTTTGGTTTTATTTAGTGGTCTAGGCTCTATAAAAAATAAATGGAAGTTTCTGCTTTTACACTTTAGGTGTTCATAATGTAATAAAACAAGACAGATGATGTGTTTTTTTTTTCTAATTAGTAAAACAGTATTAATTTACTGAATGAAAATACGACATTCATTAAGAAATAAGAAAGTGAATGGGAGGAGAAAGTAACAGTGGGCTCATTTGGAGAAGCAGGGAAATAATGGAGAAGGTAATGTAGTCCAGAATAGGCTAGGGTAGGACCCTAACTCCAGTGTTATTTTAATGTGATTTGAAAGGTAATATATTATGGGTTTTTAGGAAGTGTTTTTCTTTTACGCTGTATTGATTGGCTCAAAGAAAAGCTTTTCAAGAACTTAAACTAATTTTTGGAATTGAAGCTAGAATAAACTATACTAATTTCCTAAAATCTGAATTGAATCAAATAATATTTTTATTATAAGGTAAATGCTAAACCAATCTACAATTAAAGTAAAAATCCTAGCATATACCTCTTATAATCTGGATTTTAATTTATATACATTTCAAATATAGTCAAAGTCAGACAAAGACTGTGACATCTTCAGACAGAAGTAGCCAGGGATTTGGTTTATAAAGAGAAATAGACTTAAAAATTTAAAAATAGTTTAAAAAGTGGCATTATTACAGGGAGAGGGAGGGTAAATAATGACTGATACTTAATTATCAAGAAACAAGATTAGAAGTTATTTGAGAGAATGATATTAGGAATTCTTTTTTTTTATTTTAATATGATGCAACAAAAATTTAAGAAGAGCAAAAGAGGAATTTGGGCTTCAGCTGTAAAGTGGACAGAGTCAAACCATGAACATATTGAATGCCCACTTTTTTATGTGGTATGTGTCTAACCAAATTTTTCTTTTTCTAGGCTATCACAGAGCTCCAGAAGAATGGAATGAATATGAGCTTTTCCTTTTTGAATTATGCCCAGTCAAGCCAGTGTAGAAACTGGCAAGACAGTTCAGTGAGTTATGCCGCTGGAGCACTCACGGTCTACTGAAGCTCTGAATCCTCAGGGATGCCACCTGCACATTCTCATACTCTGTCCGGGGTCCCAGCCTAGCCTTTACCGAGATACTGGTCCTGGTTTGGGGGGATTCTGAAACCTCAAACTAATAGAACTTTCTTCTCTTTTTTTTCTAGTAGGTGTAGTCCTTCCTTAATTTCAACTCATTTAAAAATGCTTTATAGTTTAGGGCAGTGTAAGGAAGGCTGGCATCAAAGTATTTTGATCAAAAAAGATGACAATGTAAAGGCCCAGTTGTGGCAGACAGTGTTTTGAAAGTAACTTGTAAAGCATTTACCATATCCTAAATTTGCACTCTTTGCAGACTTGTGCACATATATTCCGCTTTCAGAATAGTTTTGCAAATTGTACACAAACAAACAGAAAAGGTGGAAGCTTTTTAATAAAGAAATTGCATTTATAAATGATCTGTATTAGAATATAATAAATCTCCAGTTATAGTCAATTACTACCCATGTTGTACAACAGATACCTTCTATTTTAGTTGCTAATAAAGGGCTACACAACTCAAAATAGTCTGATTTAAACTTATTGCTCTGTGGTATATATAAAAATTGTTTTTTATTAATTCCATCTCAGAATTTTTGTTAAAAATGGTAAACTTCAGCTCTTATGTAAAAATATATTAGGATGTATTTTATATTTTATATATTTATATGATTTTTTTTAAATCGGAAATTAGAATCATATAATCTTAAAGTTAACTTTTTAAATTACATTCAGTTTGCCTTTTTGTGTGTGACATCCTTTGTGTCATTACTGTATTGTAAAAATATATATTCAAGATTGGTAAAAGAACTTAGATGTAATCCTTGACTTCAAAGATCACGTTTGATAGTCTGCAAATGAGGAAACATTGAAGAGTGTTCTTAAGTGTTTTTCATATCATTGCAGACCATAATACACTGCTGTGTGCTTTTTAAGTGCTTTAAGCAGTTTGACTCTTTTACTTGAATTTTTAGCAAGAGATCATTAACGTCATCAACAAGTCACTGGATTTTCTTATAGTTACACAATTTTTTGGTCATGATTTTTGGTGCGGCTCTTCCAACTAAAATAATGGTATGGTGTTGTATTTCTTTCTTTAGTGTAGACTGGTTCTAGTCACTTTGGCCAAAAAAAAAGAATGATATAATTCAGTTAATAATTCAGGCACCATGTATGTTCTGCATTATACCTATTTTAACTTAACACTGAGTGTCTATATTATATTGGCGAGAGTGTTATATCTTCAGTGTTATGCCCGAGTAGCACAATTTTTAGATGCCTTGCACCAATTTTATTTAAAGATTTATGTTTTTTATTTATTAAATATCAACTTTCTATAGTTGAGTGAGATAACATAATGTTACCCTTTTAGATTCAAAGTCGTCTTCCTATGTACGTGTGGAAATTATACTTTTACATATTAGTGATTTATTCTCCATACTTTAGATACACTTTTGATTACATTAATATTTCCTGTTTAATATGAACTATAAAAATTTTAAAATTGACAACAGTGAATTTTAAAAATGTTTTCTGAATATAAGACTAATACATGATTATTATAGACAATTTGAAAAATACTGAAAAGTTATAAAAAAGAAAAAATTATCTGCAGTGTCATGACCCAGAGATAACCCTGTTAATATTCTTCTGTATTTCTTTTCAGTCGTTGTCTATGCTATTTCTGTGTATGAGTGTGTGTACATGTGTTTGTGTGTGTGTGATAACAAACTTGAGATTATACTGACCATATAGTTATGTACCCTGTTTTCTATAACCTAACTTCATAAATATTTACCCATGTCTTTGAAAATGTGACTTTTAGAAATGGCTGCCTAATACTCTATTGTATGAATATGCCATAATTTAATTACTTCTCTCTTTGGATATTAGGTTGTTCTAATCTTTCAGCATTATAAATAATAGTGGGGGAGACATCCTTGTTTGTAAAAGTTGATCTCTATATTAGACTCTTTCTTTAGGATATACTCATGTAAATATGGAATAAGTGGTTCAGGTTGTGAGAACTTTTAAGGCTCTTTATAATATTTCCAACCTTCAGAACGATTGCGCTAAACTAACAATGTATGAGCACTCATCCTACTGCCCCTTCACCAGTATCAGGTTTTTGAATCTTTGACAATTTGTTAGCCTAACAACATAATCAGTTGTTTATTTGATCATTCTAATAAGAGTTGCTTTACAGGTAATCATTTTTGTCTTTATATAATTTTATGGTTGATTTTTAAAAAGACAAGCGGGTTGCCTAAGTTGGGTGGACTATAGTACAAGTATGTTTCTAGCACTTATAAAACCCTAGAAGCTGGACATGGTGGTATGCACCTGTAATCCCAGCTACTTGGAGTGCTGAGGCAGGAGGATCACTTGAGCCCAGCAGCTTGAGACCAGCCTGGGCAACGTTGTAAGCCTCAAAAAAAACCCTCTAAACAAACAAGCAGACCTGCAGAATATTTTGATATCACTTTACCCTTTCCTAAAACATGAACATACCTGGTCATGAAGTAGAAGAAGTTCCAAACTGGTGGTTGAGTGTTGGGTTCTAGTTCTGTTTCTGCCACTGATTAGTTCTCTGAACTTAAGTGTTCCATGTCGTATTGAAACTTTCTCATTTGTAAATGTGGAGGGGATCTCTTAAGTGCTCTCTAGTTTCAAAGTACTTTGATATTGTGACTTTGTTTTTTAGAGGTTCTGGTGTCATTTATTTTTAATAGCTACATGAGTAATGTAGATTAGAGAGATTATCTTTTGATTTCAACTTCACATACATGGAAATGAAAGTCTTGTTATTTAACACAAAAGGAAATTAGTTTGCATTATTTAATGCAGTTAATATTACCTAAAATGTTGAACTTAAGCTTTTCTACTTTAAGTGCCTTTAAAAGTTTTGTATTTGGAATCTAAAATATAAAGGAAATTCTTATGTAGCTCTATACAGTTGCTTCTTTATGATATACTTTTGATTGTTTTGTGGCAACTTTTTTTTGTGTTATATTGCACAGAGCAGCATATTCATGGGTTCTTCACTATTCTGCTAGTGAATCCTTGAGAAATGTATGTTAAAGATTAGCTCATTGAGCAGGTAAGTGCTGTGTCTTGGGTGGGCAAAAAATCTTCATACAGAGTAGGATAAAGAACTATTAAGATATACCAGTATTTGTATTTAGATGTTCCCATTTGGATGGTTGGTGTTCTGAGCTAGTTAATGGTTATTGTTACAGACCTTAAATATTGCTTTGGTATATTTATTCCAAACATAGTTTATTCCCTGAGATTACAGGTTGGTAAATGTTTCTGTAAAAGACCAGATAGTAAATATTTTGGGCTTCACAGGCCGTATAGTTTCTGTTCTATTTTCCTTGGCAATTGTAGCACAAAACCCGCCATAGACAATGTGTAATCAAATGAATGTGAATGTGTTCTAATAAAAGTTTATTTATACAAAGACGGTGAGCTGGATTTGGCCTGTGGGCCATAATTTGCTGTCTCCTGTCATAGATGGTGTCATTTGTAGTTCAAAAGTTGGCAAATAACCTAAACTGCAAAAAGTGGTGGTAAGTTTCTGCCATCACAGTCCTCTCTTAATTTGATGTAGTCTGATTGACTGGGTTAGCATGTGATTTAGGATCATAAAGGTAAGTGGGAAATGGGCATGGGAAACTAAGAAGTCTTAGAAATTAGTGTTAAATAACTATATAGCCCATTTGTTTGCGGGAACACATTGGGAGGTTTGCTTGGGTTCCATAAACGAATCAAAAAAGTGATCAGTGGAGCTCGTGATTAGTTGTTGCAAATTCTTTAAATTATTCTAAGTGCTTGGCTGCCTAGATGATATCAGAAGCTAGGTCAGATGAACCTCTTTACCTCAGTATTTTAGGACACCAGAGCAACATTTTTAAAAAGAATTGTGAAATGTAAAAATTTTGCCATATAAGGACTTCTGAAAAGACAACTACCATCTTCCATTACTATTTTATTTTTAAAATGACTCCTATTATTTAGGAAGGACTTAAACTCAGAGTGATAGAGTAATTTAACTTGAATAGCTTTAAGTTGATGAAAATATTACTACACTCATATTTTCTCATTTACCCTGCATCACCGGAAAATTCAACAAGTATTAGTGTCAGTCCATAGATGGGCATTTGGGAAGTGCTGTAATATGGGTGTTGGAAGACCCGTTATACTTACAAAGCTGTTATTGACTAGTAGTTTAATAAGCCACATGTACACTGTTACTGAGATTAAAACTTTTAATTTTAAGTGCCATGTATTAAGGGGGAGGTACTAAGAACTATAGTGTCTACAGGGAATGATAAAAGGCCTCAATAGTCTAGAGAGTGAGATGTGGTTGAAGAAATTGGTGAGTCTTATTTTGGAGAAGGTAAGTTTAAAGATAGGGAGTTTTCTTCAGATATTTGAGTGACTTTCATATATGAGAAAGAATAGTAGTCTCTGTTGTTCATAGAAAAATTATGAATAAGAAATGGGAGCTTCCGGTTTTACATCGAATGTTCTATAATGAGAATTCCTTCCTTTATTTTTTCCTTTCCTTCTTCCCTTTTCCCTCCTCTCCCCATTTTCCTTTCCCTCCTTTCTCCCCTTTCCTTACCTTCTCCTCCCCTGCGCCCCTCCCTTTCCCTTCATTTCTCCTCTGTCCCCCAACAGTCTCTGACGAGTGCAGTGGCATGATCTCTGCTTACTGCAACCTCTGCCTCCCAGGTTCAAGCAATTCTCCTGCCTCAGCCTCCAGAGTAGCTGTGATTACAGGCATCTGGCAACATACCATACCTGGCTAATTTTTTCTATTTTTAGTAGAGATTGTGTTTCTCCATGTTGGCCAGGGTGGTCTCTAACTCCTCACCTCAGGCGATCCACCTGCCTAGGCCTCCCAAAGTGCTGGCATTACAGGTGTGAGCCACCACGCTCAGACTCTTTCTTTATTTCCTCCTTTCTTTTCTTTACTTCCTTTTCTTCCCTCTCTCCCTCCTTTTCTCTCTTTCTACCTCCCCAACTCCTTCCTCCCACCTGCCCCCCGCTTCTCATCTCTTTCTTTCATACAAGACAGGGTTTCACCATGTTGCCCAGGCTGGTCTTGAACTCCTGGACTCAAGAGATCCATTAGCCTTGTATAATGAGAATTTCTAATAATGAAAATTTGCTGTGTCCTCATAAAAGCATAAGAATTATTCAGACAAAAGCTAGATCAGTGATTATCAAAGTAGGGTTCTTGCACTGTCATAACATCAGTATCACCTGGGGATATATAACTATGATCACCAAGCTGAAAAAAACTGGTATACAAATAAAATGGAACTTATTTGTATAAAACTGTTGAGAAGTTATTTTTAAATCAGAATGAATTTTGATCATTTAATACTAACTTTAAACACAGAAATTATAACGTAATTATTGCTTAATTGTGACTGGGCGAACACTGGTGTGCCAGTTACTGTGGGCACCTTAGAATAATTAATCTGTTTTAGTTAAAACATTTAAATGGGGGG